CCATCGGCTAATCAAAGCAGTTGCAAAAAACATTATTGAAATCGTCCACATATGATTCTGCCTCCTACCGCAGTTAACGGCAACGCTAAGCAATCAAAGGTCAGTAGGGCCCGCTTCTGCTTACCGATTAAGCGAAGATATTTTATCCAGTTGACACGTGTACCTCACGTGCCGTGACCTCGGGGAAGAAAAAAGCACAAACAAGGAGCAAGAGGAAGTTTCCTTCCTCTCCTCCTCCCACCACTTCATAAAATCCAAAATCTATATAAAGCCTAATGAAATTCCTTGCCGTTACGGTCCTCATCTTTACCTTTTCCGTTTCGGTTTTCGGTGTAGAATTGGGGTTTTGCAGTGACGAAATGGCCACTACCCTCGGAGGAGTGCACCAATCCAGAGGAGCGGAGAACAGCGCCGAGATAGACGACCTCGGTCGCTTCGCCGTCGATGAACACAACAAGCGAGAGGTTCCTTCCTTACTCTTGTTCCTACCTCCCTTTGTTTTATGTTTGAAATGTGTGAATTATTGAATTGTGTTCGGGATTTCTCTCGTGTTTTTTTTTTTTTTTTGAAGAATGCGCTGCTTGAGTTTGCAAGGGTGATCAAGGCGCAAGAGCAGGTGGTGGCGGGTAAGTTGCACCATTTGACGGTGGAGGTTGTTGATGCGGGCAAGAAGAAGCTGTATGAGGCGAAGGTTTTGGTGAAACCGTGGATGAACTTCAAGGAATTGCAGGAATTCAAACACGCAGGCGATAGTTCCTCTTTTACCGCTTCGGATCTTGGTGTCAAGAAGGGTTAGTACTTAGTAGTTGTGTTACTGTTTGTTTTCATCTGGCATTATTTTCTATCCCACATGTTTCTCATTTCCTGCTTGTTACTGTAATTACAGACCTTGATAGAATTTAGTGGAAAATTGAACAGCGTTTAGTTCCCTTGTTGGTATAACTTTTTAAGTTTATTATAGTCAACAGTGACTTGGAGTCTCTCAAGCAAACCGATATCTTTTGCTCCGAATTGTTATATACACCCTGTAAAACATTATTCAAAAGCTTTCTACCACTACAATAACCAGTGTTGATGCGCCTTGTATTGCTGCTGCCCATGATGAATTACTCATCATTTTTTCCATTCTAACCTTGTATAAGCAATGGAAGTACTTTTTTTGAGCAGTGCGTTTTGTTGTTTGAAGAGATTAGGGCACAGTTGTTCCTTCTTGTTAAGGGACTGGACTTTGTGGGGGTTTTTTCCCCACTCTGAGTGCGGTTTCTCGTTTATGATGTTTGTATTTAAGAGATGCTTGACATGCTTCTCTGAGGTAAGGGCCAGCTTATCATAAATGGATGCCAGATGGAAACAGTGTAGGATGAGTTGACCGTGTGAGAGTTAAGACATGAGGATGGGGAGGGACCTCTCCTCTTTATACCCAAATTTTTTATCACCCTCCAGTACTGTTTGGATTCTTTTTGTGAGTTTATCCTTTGTTGGAGCCCTGTCTTTTGAATTGGTTGCAATGAATGAAGGGGATGGGGTCAGTGTTCTTATCCTTGCTTAATTGCTTATGGTTTTCCCTGAAAACAAATAGCAGGTAGTAAGAGTACAGTTGCAGTTCAAAAGCTTCAGTCATCTTCTTGTATTTTTGAGTGGATAAAGTTTTATCATGTTCCTTAATTGGATTAATGTGAATTTAATTTTATAAATCAGATGGTCATGATGGCCCTGGCAAGCAAGAAGTGCCGACACATGATCCTGTGGTCCAGGATGCAGCAAATCATGCTGTTAAGACAATTCAGCAGAGATCTAACTCCCTTCTGCCTTATGAACTTAAGGAGATTGTTCATGCCAACGCAGAGGTTAGCAATTTATGGTTTCATCTCTCTCTCACAGTGTATGCAATTATTATTCAAAAAGGGCCTTACCTCATATATGCATGATGCAAGTGCTAGCAAATGATCATATTCTCAAAGCTTATGCCTGTGATTTCAAATATTTATCTACTTTCTGATGTTCTGAAATCAAATAGGTGATGAATGACCTGGCAAAATTTGATATGCTTCTCAAGCTCAAGAGAGGAGACAAAGAAGAGAAATTCAAGGTGGAGATACATCAGAAGAGTGAAGGGACTTTCCATCTGAATCAAGTGGAGCCCGATCACTCTTGAATCGACACTATTGTTTATTGTGGAAGTAGTACATTGTACATACTTTTTAAGTGTCGTATAGTAGCTCTCGCTTTATTGGAACTGCAGTTTCTACCATGACAATACTATCAAGTTGTGGTGACTTCTTTACTGCTTTAAGAATGTAATGCGGTATTTGTTATTTTGGTTCAAGAAAACTTGAAGTCGTGTCTTGTGTGTTTTTATTTGCTTTTTATTAGCAGAAGTCCTTTAATAAATACTCAGTACTATTTTTATGAAATTAAAACTTAAAAGTTGCTGTGTAGTTTGTTCTGCCCTCCTGTTTAAAAAACCCAAAAAAGAATAAAAATAAAAATTTAAAACTGCTATAGTTTCGCTCACATTACCTCTATTTAGCATCAAGTACACTATCTTTTAGCTTTTCTTATTTTTGAACAATTGCAAAGGACAATGTGTATTCGAACCCAGATGCAGTTTCTAATTAACCAGTAGGCTACATTTTGAATGAATATCTAAAATTGGCAAATAAATTGTTATTAGGTTAAAGAAAAAAGGAGCGAACACAAAAATTCGCATGGTTAAGTCATACCACACAGTTGCATGATTTGCTCTGTCAATCAAGAGGTACAAGCTTAGAAGGCTTATAATTAATTTACACACTCAAACCCATACCTTCAACAGAAGAATTCAAGTTTTCATTCTTAAGAACTAAGGACCTCTATGTTAGGTTATTAAATTTTTGTATTTAAGAAGAAATTAGTATAGAAAAAAATTGATAGAAAAGTTGTAAAGTAAAACTTACATAAGAAAAACTGAGGAAAAACCTTTTCATTTCAAAAAATGTAAGAAGAGAAGTTTGTGTATTAAGAATTATGTTAAGAAAAATTAAAATTAAAAATATCACTTTTAAGCACTTTTCCTAGTAATATTAAAATATATAAATACATAAATAACTTTATAAAAAAAATTTTAAAACATTTAAGGAAAAAAGTAGCTTGGCATTTTTGGCAACCAGCGCCCCTAAAGTTGTTGGCTGTTGGTTGGTTTGTTTGCTTTTTCCTCTTTTTCATTTTTCAAAGGAAATCTATTAAAAAGGACCTAGTTTTACAGTTTTTTCTTTCTAATTTTTTAAATAATTAGGTGATAAACACCATTTCATATATAACACAAAACAATTTCATGTATCTCTCTCCATCCTAACACTTTAAACAATAAACAATACCCGCTAATAGCCTGTCAAAGCAAACCATAAACAATCTGTCTGAGGGCAATTCTATTGCACTAAAAATACCATATCCTTGCAATACACAGCGAGTTCACAAACAGGCCTAAATTTTGCAGTTGTGAGAAGCATCTAACACTTATAGAGGTTGTTAGCAATAGCAAATGCTATAATAAGTGACGAGATGACAAAGGAAAAATGACACAAGTGACTGTTACACTTCCATTCTCCAATGGTCATCATCACCATCATCACTACTACTTTGTCTTTCAATTTCTTAGGTGCTAATCTGATCCCGAGAACTACTGTTTTCTAGAAATCCATACCACCACTTAACCTTCTTCATCATAATCTTCCTCATCCTCATCTAACCTTCTGCCCATTTGCGCCAGTTGAAGAGGATCAATGGCTATCTTGTCCATCTCTGAAATGGACCAACCTGGGTATTCTTCATGCTTAGTCTCAGTAGTAGGCTCAGCTGAAGAGGTTTGTGCAGGTGCAGGTGCAGGTGCAGGTGCAGGTGCAGGTGCAGGTGCAGGTGCAGGTGCAGGTGTTGCTGCTGCTTCTGCAGCAGCTGCAGCAGCTGCAGTGGTTGCTGTGGCCTTTGTATCCACCTTTTCATCCACCTCCGCATTCAGATCAAAGTTTCGAACAGCTTGATTAGCATCCTCACTTGCAGTAATGTTGTCACTGGCAGTAATGTTGTCACTGGCAGTAATGTTGTCTTTCACTGGTTCCTTTGACTCAGAACCGTCATCCATCATGGTATCAGGGTTTGCATTAGTTTTGCTACTTTGCTGAAGAGCCACACTGGGTTCTGGTTCTGTTTCACGATGAGAGTCCCTTTCCACATTTCTAGGGGTTCTCCCACGGCCTCGTCCTCGCCCTCGGCCTCTCCCTCTGCCACTGGTGCCTGCATGGCCCATGTCATGCTACAATACATAGGAAAATACCAATCACTGAAAATGCAGAGAATATAAACACCAAAACCAAAGTGATACAAATAAGCATTGAAAGAAAAGAAGCTTGGCTCACCGTTCTGCTTCTCTTTGACTCTTCATCACTGTCATGGGATTCATCTCCAGCAGCTTTCCTGGCAGATTAAGATGTAAAACATATGAGATAAGTTAATGCACTATAAGTAACAAGAAAAAACAACCAACTTTCTCCTAACCTTCTCTTGGAAATGGTTCGATCATCAGCACCAGCATCAGAATGACCATGACCATAATCAGGAACCCTGCTGACAATGTCCCTCAGAAAATCAAACACATTATAGCTTTGTACGCAATGTTTTCTGCAATTTAGTTGGAGAATGCAGTTAGACCAATTCAAATGTAGAGCCAGAGTCAAGTCTTAAACTTCACTGCATATATTAGAAATTGAACAAGGTTATTCCTTCACTTACAAATGCAATGCACTCATAGTTTTTGCTCCTCTCTGAAGAGTTATCTCATAAGTACGATCACAGAGGTCTTGCAAAAATAATTCCAATGCTTTAGCTGCAAGAGATTGAAAAAGAGTATAAGCAACAGAAAACATATATTGAGGAACTACTTTACAAGAAACCTTGATAGTTGCAGCAACTCACAAACTAAAACAGGCACTGCTAATGCAATCTTCCCAACATCCTCATCAGCTTGCATTATCTTTTTAATTCGGGCCTGAGAAGTCAAAACATTACATAGGAATAAAAAATAACTACCATAAATGAAACTGAATATTAAAAAGGAAAACAAAAATAGGAAACCACAAAGCAGATAAAATGCTGACAGGCAGATGGCTCACAAGCATGGATGTAACAATCAGCCCATCCTCTGTCTCTCATGGTACATCCATTTATGAATGCTCCCTATGTATCAAATTTTTATGCATTCTTTATTTCCATGATTCAAGAAATTTTGCTAGTGACTTTACCATTTGAGGTTTGTAATTTTCAAAACTTGTGAGCAGGAGGGAGAAAACTTAACTAGAAAACACCCAGGACTAAGTATGTTGGAGACTCATGAAACTGTAATGATTTTCTTACAAGAAAGGAAATTTATGGAAGAGAGATCAAGACAAAAGGAATATATCAAGCAAAAAGAAAAAGCATAAATAGCATCTCAATTCGAGTACTTGACTCCAATGTCCAGGTAACTCACTAGTCGCGCCTCAACAAAAAGCAACAAATCCATTATCAGCAAACTCAACAACAATTACCAACTTATAATGTTCCAAACAATCAAGAAACTTATGTATGTTGGGACCAAATCAGAAAGGCATTATTATCATGTAAATAATCTTCTTCCCTACAAGAGTACTCATTTCTAAAAGATCAAACTTTTTCAACTCCAAATAAACCTATTAGACTTTCAGCCAGCTTTTAAAAATCTAAAGCACGGAGAAATAATCAGAAATCAAGATTTTTCAGTTTACAGCTAACCAAATGCGAAACAAATTCTAGCTATGAAGGCAATGTGAAGAATTCAAAAATATACTACGAACTTTGACCTAGAGCAACATTTCCAACAACAACTGGAATCAAGAAGCGTTTTCCAGGCATATACTGTATACCTCACATCATCAAAAACACATACTAGAATAAAATTGTTAAACCCAAAAAACCCAAAGAACTGTATCAACAGACCATGGCTCTACATGACTTCATGAGGTTTAAATTGAAAACAAACCCTGAGTAAGGGTAACCCAGATTACACAACCCACAGCTGCATAACCATGTTCAATCAAAAATTACTTGCAATCCACAGAGGAAAACCATCCAAAAACAGAAGAAAAACATAGCATGGCAGTCCCACTAAAACCAAAAAAAAAGGGCCCCAAAAACAACTTTGGGAAGAAACTGCAACATTGACAGTCAACTACGCCAGAAAAATCCAAGTATACAAAAAGGGGGTCTAAAATCAACTATGTTTTAGCAAAGAATAGATTATATATCTTAAAATAATTAAAGAACTAATTTTTATTAGATATAATGAGTCAGACAGACAAAAAAAACCTAAATTTGAAGAATCCCCAGCTAAATACAATTAAAGAACGATATTCAGAATATAAAAGTCTAGCGAAAAACACATAGCTTCCGAACAAAACACGAACTAGAGAAGAATCCCCAGCTAAACACAAACATACAATGAAATACAGAGAACTGCATCAAAATTACCCTCAAATTAATCCCAATTTCTAAACCAAAAAACCAGGAAAGACAATCAATTCATGAATCAAGCAATCCCCGGGAAAATTACAACGTAGAAATGCAATCGGAAAAGGGAAATGGTAAGACAGCAAAGCTTACAGCTGGGAAACGGGTGTCGAGTTTCTTCCTCATGGTGTCAGATTTGCAGCATTAAATTATTCAACTCAACACCCAGAAAAAGAAAGAAAAGGGAACCCACAACCCCCGACTCTCTTCAAATCGAAATCCCCTCGAAGCACAATCCAATCACAACAAGAACAAAACGGAATCAGACGCAAAATCTACAAAACCCCATCTCAGATCCGAAGACTGCTTCTCTTCCTTCGCTAATAAATGATAAAACAACGAAGTCTTTGTTTCAACGGATTATCCGTCTGTAAAATTTGATAAACAAAAAATAATATAAAATAAATAAAGTAAAATTCGTGTAAAATAGAACATAAATGATAGAGCTACATGTGAGTCTGTTTCAGTCTAGAACAGCTGCATGAGAGATTGACACGTTTTAAAAAAATGACGTAGGATTGGAAGATCCGAGAATAAACCTCGTTGACTGTACATGTGGAGGGTTTTGAGTGGACTGTGTTGTACGATTTGGTGACTGTCCAAACCTTTTCCGGATGCTACCTTGTGTAGTTTATTTTTCATAATTTTATTGAGCAACCTTCCGTCATATGAACAAGAAAGGAATAAAATATAAAGAACGAGAAAAAAAAAAAAAAAAAGAGTTTACAGTCGGAGCACGATGGATTACAAAATACTCTCTACTAACAATTAAATTAGGTTAAAATACAATGTTCAAAAAAAAAAAAATTAGGTTAAAATACAAATTTGGTCCTCAACTTTTAAATTTATATCAAAATCATCCTTTAACTTTAAAAAGTACTAAAATTGTCACTAATCTTTAATTTTTAGTACTAAAATAGTTCTCAAACTTTATAGATAATATCAATTTAGTCCTTAAACTTTGAAAATAAATACCAATTTAGTTTTTGAATTTTGATTATAAATACTAATTTAATCTTTTAATTTTAATTATATATTAATCTAATTTGTAAATAAAAATATATCATAATGATAAAATATGACTATTTGATTTTACATATTATTAGTAATTAAAAAAACTAATTTTATGACAAAATAATAAGTTACTTTATATTTCTATTAACAAAAGGACTTTTTTTATTAAAAATTAAAATTTAAGGGTAATTTTAATGTTTTTTTAAAATTGAGGGATAATTTTTAACATAAATCTAAAAGTTGAGAGATAAAATTAATATTTTAACCATTAATTAAGGAAGGCCCTTCATGATAAAGGATACCCTTCCATGGCTAGTGTTTTGTAATATAATTTAGACAGTAAAATACCAGATTCAATAAATGATGTTTAATTATAAATTATATCTCATACTACATGTAAAGAAAGGTTTCAACCTTCAATAAAAGAAAGAAAGAAAGAAAGAAAAAAAACACATCCAAATGATTTATTTGGTGGCCCATTTGTTTTTTCTATGGCCAAACCATTAAGGTGTGTCTAAATTAATTTTTATGTGTTTCATAATTAATTATTTTTAAATAATTTTAAAGACACACCTTTATATTAACCTAACACATTTAAAAGTTAAATTTATTTACTACTAATTTAAAACTTAGGTATGATATATAAATTGATACATATTTATGAGCATATTTAATACTAAGGTTGCACATTATATATTTTTTTTCAATTTACAGCAAGACCGTTCCTTCAGTCACACTTGACACTTCAAAACTAATTCTAAGGGTGCACACTAGTTCGACATTTAATAAAATATATACATATGTTTTAAATGTTAGGTTGAAAACTTGAATTTTAAATTTAATTAAAAAAATTTGTTTACCAACAGTGGTATACACTTGGTTGGCCCATGGTGTACTTTTTGGGTACATGGCCTGTGGTATACAAATATCAATATACTTACAAATATGTAATTGCCTTTGGATAAAGTTGGCTAGACTGAATAAAAAATAGAAACCCAAGCTTTTTACTCTTAACAGCCCAACTATGTGAGATTATCGGAGTTGGCAAGTCATACGGCCCGTCCTTTTGGGCTCAATGAGTCAATGGAAGGAGACCTGCGCCGTTTGTCACCGATGATGCACCGCACGTTGTAAGCGTGATTGCAGGTGGTAAGAGGATTATTTAGAATTTTTTTTTAAAGGGAATAGTATATATTCGATTTATCTCATAAAAATTAAGAAAAAAATTATTTTAAAATTATATCGTTTCAATAAATTTTTATTAAAAAAATTAAAATATTATATTTTTAAAACATGAATTAAAATATTTTTTTTTATTTTCATATAATATTTTATTAAAATTATGTAATTTTGAAATATTTTTCCTCATAATCTTTAAGAGATAAGCAAATAAGCACTAATCCATTTTTTTATTTTCCAATCTTCTTTCTAAATTTGGTTTTCATTTCTGTTGTATAATACTTCGTTTTATCAGTGCTCTAATATGCAATAACTATGAGTTTTTTTTAAAAAAAATTACAAATGATAATATAAAAAATATAAAAAATATTAATTAAAATTAACAAAAATATGTACAAAATTAATTAAAAATAATAAATTAATATTTTAGATAAAAGGTTATGTAAAAAAAATCTATGTATGCAAAATATGGTCAAACCAAACCAAAGTCTTTTCTTCCTGATTTTGTTATTTAAAAGGGAGGGAATGGAATGTTTCTCCTTACTTTACCAAGTTTGGATGGATTCAATGGTAATAAACCTTTTAACTCATCACTTAAGGATTGAACCACAACCAATACTTTCAATATATCTTTAAATTGAAAGTACGAAAATTCTTAATTATCTACATTTAAGATAGGATACATAAATTTTAAATTATTATTTTATTACTTCATGATGATTAAAAAGTGACGTTCACATTACCAAAAAGGAAAAAAAAGAGAAGCTTCTACAAGTAGAACAACAATGGTAGTTTTAGAATTCATGGAAGCAAGAATCTAGTATTATCTCCTATGGAGATCGACTCCACTCTCATCTTTCCTAGTTTGATGTTGGTAAACCAGATTTCAAATTAAGACAAGATTTTGTTTAATTTTGTTGCTTAAACACCACATAATCTCGCTTCAGAATCCAAACACATCTTCACGCCAACTATCATCCACATAACCATTATTTTTGAATCCATGAACCTCATATAATATTTCACAATTAGAGAAGTAAAATTAATTCAACAAATCAATAATCCCTAGAAAAATGTACAACTTAATTAGGTAAATAATCTTCAATTGTAATGTGCATTTCTTTTATTTGGTAATGCGATCCAACTTCAAATGGTATATGAAGTTGGGCCTTGACCATCTCCCTTAATTTCCTAAAAAATGATTTTGGTTATATCATGTTACATTATTAATTTTCATCAATTAGTTTGAATATCAATAAAACTATCTCTTTGACAATGATAGAAAGAAATGCAATTAAAATGACATGGGTATACTATAACTTTATTTTGTGCGTATGAGAAATTGATTCATATATATAATGTTCTAAATTAAATATCCATGGTACCGCAATAGCAAATCAATTACTTAAAAAATTTAGCTTTTGTTTAGAGAAAGAAAAAAAATTTGGCTCTATGTATACTAATAGAAAGTACTAATTTAGTAGGAAAAGGAATATCTACCTTTATCAAATAACATTCTTGGGGATCAAACTATAAAATTCCATGGGTAGAATTATAAATTAAATCCTTTCAAATAAGCCAATAACCTAAGCAACTAATGGTAATTTATCTTTTAATTGGATTAAGAGATTTTAAGTTTAAATCGGAAGCATATAAATATAAGTAATTGTATTATTCAATATTTTAAAAAATAAATAAATAAATAATCCCTTCAGGTAATTGATCTTTGACTATGCCTTAGTTAACCAACCATTTGTAATTGTAGTATGTACTTGTGATTCACAATTTAGATAGAAAGTCGTGTTAAGACTACAATCCTACTAAACCTTTGTACCAAAATAAAGCATGTAATACGTATGGAATGGGATTTCCTTCCATATTTGAAATATTACATTTACTTCGAATGCTGAATAAAGGCCTACACATCTCTTTAGTTTTCTCACAAATCATAATATGCCAATAGATCCACTTGAGGCAGCAGAACCATGCCCTTCTGAGGCATCTAGCATCTCAGCAGCAGCCTCAGATCGGCGCAAGGATGTTGGAGACAAGAAAATGCAGAAGAAGATGTTTGGAGAAGAAGATCCCAAAGGATCATCTTCGAATCAAGTCTTAGAGGCATCCGATGAAAGGGTGTTACTTGATTTGAAGCTGTCCAACAATGGTTCTTCTTCATCTGTTGGTGGGGCACCAAAGGGGGAACTCAACTTTGTTTCCCAAGTAATTGAGTCATCCAATGACGAGGGATCTGAACAAGGTAGGGTTTTCTCATGCACTTATTGCAAGAGGGAATTTCCTACTTCCCAAGCACTTGGTGGGCACCAAAATGCTCATAAACAAGAGAGGGCATTAGCCAAAAGGCGACAAGAATTGGAAATGGGTGCTTTTGGGCATCCTCACTTTCCTTATTACCCTTATTATTCAAGCCTTAATTCACACCCTTATTATGGCTCCGGCTCACTAAATAGATCAGCACTCGGAATCAGATTAGACTCCATGATTCACAAGCCTTCATCATATCAATGGACGTCACTCGGATCTCGTTTAGGGTATCCCGCGTGGTCCAGAAATGCCCTTATGAACCCACAATTGGGAGTTCATAACAATATTGGAGGATTTGGAATTTCTAGACCTCCTACTTCTTTTACCTCCTCCTCATCAAGTGTCATTCCAGAGAACATCGGTGGGGCACATGGTTTCTTGGGGATTTCTCCAGCAAATGCTGCAATTAATAATAGGCCCGCTGCTGCTAGGAGTGATCAAGCTGATCCTTCAGGGCTTGATTTGTCTCTTAAGCTTTGATTTATTTATTTATTTGTTAATTCCTGTCGTGGGAGCCAAAAAGGAAAAAAAAAAAAAAAGTCCTGTTGTGTGTGTTTTACATTGTACTTCGTGTGTTTATAAATAAAGGGTTATTTAATGTATGATTTAAGGATATAAATTAATATTATTTTTTATAA